CTCATATACACATCCAAGGGAGTGGCATCCATGTGCTCATAATATTATATTCAAATTCACCAATATATTACTATTAACTTTTTTTTAATATAGAGAAATAGATGGGTTTACTCAGACCAATAGTTTTTCATGAAATCCGTAAAATCAATTTATATTCATTGATCAACTTTATAAGCTAATGATCTAATGGTCTAAAGTTGCACGATGACAATTTTGTGATTATTGAGAAGTCTCGTAACAATTTTATGATTATGAATGTTCAGATTGTAGATCTAATCCAATGGTTGAAAATTGGTCTTACAGGTCTCACGAAAAACCTTTGGTCTCATATGATCTCAAGTCTATATATATATATATATTAAAAATAGAAAATCATATTATAATAGTATGTATGTTTCTATTTTTTATTTTTAAAAGTCCCATATTTTGTGTTTATGACAGATAGAGACGGACTCAGATATTTTCTTTCCAACATAAAAGATATGATAATATAAAATAAAATAAAAATTAGTTATAAAAAGTACGATTTAATCAGTAATGATAAATAAGTTGCCTCCTATAATTTTCTCTACAACTCCATTTTTTATAATTGATTAACTACGTCTTTATTCGTGACATTGACAAAGTGTTTTTTTTTCTATGACACAAATGATTGAAGCATTCAAAAAATCATTACTAATTCGAGTGCGCAAATCTGAAAAAAATGAACCACAAGGACTCAATGCCGCCACAATATTTTCCTTTTTCTCGTGCTTCTTTCACCATTTGCTAGTATTTTTTTTTTCTTCCACCTATTTTGCACACACTCTTGTACAAGTCAAGGGTCGTCATGTAAATAACCCTTACGTTGTTGAGGGTAGATGTTAGGTCTGCATACATCTCAATCTCTCGGGCCAAACACTGCTTTCGAGTGAGAATTATCATGTACGTCTGGTGCTTAACTCGCTGAAACGATCATACAAAGTGTTGAATATGTCATACTCATCATAATGTGGGTTGGTAATGTGGTCCTTTGCCATCGATTCCTTGCGTTTATATTCTACCATGTCAACTTGTTAATACCATAATGTTTAAAAAAACGATTTTCTTCAAAAATGAATCAAACCCAGTTTCTCGAAGCGTTTGTAATTTGTCGTTTGGTTTCTTTTACTAATGAAACTGCTCTGAAGATGTTGTTCTTTGAAGAGCTTGTGACATAAATTTGTTATCCCTAAAACGTCCAATATCATGAGCAAATAAAACACAAAATTAAATGTCTTAGGGACTGTTTGGCAGTTGTTGAATGATTTGGTGCAAAATGATTAAGAGGCTTTCATGATATAGTGCAACTTGAAATATAATCGTTCGGTAATTGTTTACAATAGAATTATGACGCTAAATGGTTAAAGCAAACCTAAGATACAAATTCATCCAGAGAGTTTTAGAACCTTTAAGAGATACCAAATTTTTTGCCAAACAAGATTCACCTCTTAACGATTCAGATGTTGCCTTTTAATGGAACTATTAAGAGGTAAACAAACAACCTATCAAAATATCATATAATACCAATTGCTTGATGCCAACTAAAGGTACTGATTATTGCATTCTTCTTCAACATACTCATAACGACATCTAGAAACAAAGACGAAATCATCTTCATTAAGTTATAATGATATGCAATGTTTGTTAAGACATTTTGTTATGCTAACATGAATTCACTTAACTTTATAAGCCGATCCATATCGTAGATCTCAGAAATCACACACACACAGGACCTAGCAAGGGGAACTGCTCAATATGGTGTACCATTAAACTGTTTTTATCTATTTATGTTGTAATAACTAGTTCGCTATGAGACGTACCCAACAAGTTTTGCCATTTAGGGAAGGTGTTACAGTTTGCAGGGGCAACAGCAGAAGAATGGTGCTTCGACGACGACAATTCGTGGTGGAAAGTGGAAGAAGAACTCATCCAAGTCTGACTGACGCCATTGATTTTCTTAAATAACCTCATCTAAAATTTTCATCACCAATGTATCTGTTCGCAACACTCTCACATGAAAGTAACACGAGGCTCTAATAACGGAGTTCAAGTTAACATGTTAAATCCGAGGATCAAATAAAAAATCGAACTTTGGGACCACTAAAATACTTAATACGTTTAAACGATTCAATCCAAAATTTAGGTACACAAGATGGGCCAAGAATATAATTCAATCTAGAAAGAATGACAATCCAAACTAGTTATAATGACACTTGTGAATAAACACGTTTCTTAAATGAAATTTTTATAATACTTCCTCTGTTCCAAAATAAATGTATATTTATCTTAGGACAAATTAAAATAGTAATATAGACACTTAATTTGGGATAGAAAAAGCAACACATTTTAAAATAGTCATAAAATAAGATGTTGTCACTACAACAAAATTGGGTTTATAGGACGCTTCCAATTTTTAGGTCTCCTAATAGACCTCTTTATAGGACTTGGTTTATAAGATCTAAAAATAAAGTGTCATATCTAAAGACATTGTAATAAGTTTATATGTGTCTCATTAGCAACTTATAGGACACTATTTAAAATATCGTCTTATAGAAATAAGTGTCCTATAAAAAATTGAGTTTATAGGACACTTTCTCAAAAGTGTCCTATAAAGTTTGCTAATGCGATGTTTTGTATTAAAAATGTCCTAAAAAACTTATTAAGAAACCCAAAAGCGTTATATAAACTTATTACAACACCTCTAGATCTGACGTCTTATATTTTGTTCCTATAAATTAAGTCCTATAAAGTGGTCTATTGGGACACTTAGAGATTGGGAGCGTCCTATAAACCAATTTTATTGTAGTGTGTTTTTTCTCAGTTTCAGAAAATTACAACATATACTGTTCTTTTAATTTTTTTTTCTTTTCATATGATACTTCCAAAAAAATACTGAGAAATGTTGATATAATAATATATTTCTTAATTCTATTAAGCCGTCCAACTGTCTGTTAAGAATTTATTGTTTTATAAGAATAAACTTGTATTAAAAACTTATATACACAACATACAACAATTGTCGATTGTATAAACTTGAATTCTCACCAAAAACTTTAGAAAGACATTTGTGGAAGACTGATATATAACTTATATTATGAAAGATCATTTAGCCTAGCGGTGTGTGAGCATTTGATCTTCTAGGAGGTCAGGGGTTCAAAACTCACCAAATGTGAGGAGTGTATGTGAGTTTATTTATTCTATTTGCAGTATATAAATATTATATACTAAAAAAAAACATATGTGTATAGATCAAAATAAAAAGTTTCAATAAATCTCAAATACGTAATAATAAAGAATAATTTAAAGCAAAATAAAAAGGTTCTCTCCAAAACAAAATAAAAGAAGTCCATACATGAGTTTTTATATATACTTTAATTATTTATAAATTTTATTATTTTATATTTATATGACGGTTATATAGTATAATATATTTATTATATGATATTAGAAGGGTATTCGTACAATGTAGCGAGATAAATCTTGATTCCATTGTTTAGTTTTTATTCTGTGTTTATCAATATAATACAACTTTATGTGGTTTTGAGAAAACGATAATGTTTTTATTTTTGAATGATATATAAATTTGAAGATAAAATAAAAAATTGAAAAAAAAATAAATTGATATTAGTATCAAATTAACTATTTAATAGTTCTCCTTTTTTTATGTAATTTATTTTATTATAATTTAATTTAGATTTAAAAAATAATTTATTTTTGATTTAATAGTATAATTTTTTATAAAGATATATAATAATTAAATATTCTGTTACAGCTCAATTATTATCTTAATTATATTTAAGATTTTCTATATTTAAAATGAATATTTATTCCGTATTTGATTATATTTATTTGCAGTTAGTTACACAAACTTAAAAAATGGAGCTTTAATAAATTGTACTTATGCATAATTACTTATTATCTTGAATTTTAAGTAATATGCATCAATATACAGTACTTCATGCATAAAAAATGGTTTTTAAAAGTTTTTGTCAAATGTTTTATAATATAGTATAGATATTGCATATATAATATGTGTATACATATATAAAAATGTTAGATGTAATATATATTATAATATAAATATATAGGTATGATGTGGGTTAAAACTTGGGATCACGTGAGACCAGCTTGTTTTTGTGAGATCCGTGAGACCACTTTTTTACACTTAAAACTTTACAATAAACGCTGTGAAGGTAACCTTCATAGTGTTTTTGCTATGAAAGTTCAGTTTTTTTACCTTCATAGCGCATCGCTGTAAAATTTTAAATGTAAAAAAAGTGGTATCATAGATCTCACGAAAACATACTGGTCTCACGTGAACCCAATCCTGTAAGTTAAACAGTACACTACACCATATAGTATAGTATAACAAAATTATAAATCGCAAATAATTTCAAATTAATTGATTGCATGTGCATGGAATTGGATTAGTGGGTATCTGCTATATAACACCCACTGCTACCACCCTAAAACAGGAGAAGAATATGCAAGATTGAATCTCTTGATTCACACACTATTTTTTTTTTTAATCTAGATATCCAACCCGATGTGTAAGCCGACTAATCTCAGGATGATCACTTGTTTTGTGGGTAGCTCGAAGTCATCGCATTTAAACCTTCGTGGCCATAAGGAGATTTTTATTCCTCCTTGAATTTGACCAGACACTTTTGACCGAGATCACGTTCAAACCAATATTTTTACAATCTATGATAAATGGTGAAAGTAAATAGGAAATTAATGAAATACACAATTAATACAATAAATAAATTAATTATTCCAAATATGGATAATAAAGTGACGAGTAATCTTTAAAACATCCATATTCAAGGCCTATATATACACATTCCACCATACCCAAAAACTCACCATCTTTTGCATCTCTTTCAACTTCTGTCTTCTCTTCTTATATATATATATATATATAAAGAGGTATATATATATATATAGCTATACATACATATATATATATGTATGTATAGATGGCTGTTTTGACAGTGATAATTGGTGGTGTTTTGGGGGTTTGCCTGTTGATTACACTTGTTCTGAGATGGAATGAAATGAAGTACAAGAGGAAAGACCTACCTCCTGGTACCATGGGTTGGCCACTTTTTGGTGAGACAACTGACTTTCTTAAACAAGGACCCAGCTTCATGAAAACCCAGAGAGCAAGGTTCGTCTATCCATCGATATCGATCTCCTTTTTCTTAGTTCATCTCTCTCGGAAAAACCCGTTTATGTTTATACAATTATACACGTCAATGGCGTTTTGTGCTTCATGTTACTGTCTTATATCCGTTAGACTTGAACTATTTATTTAAGAAATACCACTTTGACTATATGAGTTGGGGGTTTTTATATCCTTTCAACCTAATCTTGACCAATATCTTGTTTTATGATGTTTCAAAAACCCTTTTATGTTTGCACAAACTAATCAATGGTTCTTTTTCTCTTTTTTTTCTTGCTTTTCTTCCCATTTTCATGAAGAAATGAATTGTATATATAACAAAAGGAACCCTTTTCAAACCACAAGGGTGGTACCTGATTGGTTTGAACTTGGCTCCAAAGGTCAAAAGTACCAAGAGGTCTCAGGTTCAAACATGGAGGTTCAAATGCGATAACTCCGGGCTATCTGCAAAGCAGGTGGTCGCCCTGGGATTAGTCGGCTCGCATAGCGGGTTGGATATCCAAGTTAATTAAAAAAAAAAAAAAACCCTTTTCTTGATCTTTTTCAAAACCCCACAAAAACCCTTTCATTACATGATCACCAATTGAGGTGTTTCAAGTGATCCCAACTAAATCTTGATACCTTGTATCATGATTCTTTAATGTACTTCTGTTATATATATATATATATATATATATATATATATATATATATATATATACACACACACACATAGGTTGAAGGGTTTTCTGCATAATTTCACTACAAGATCTTGAAGACATATATATATATATATATATATATATATATGACCTATATGTATATATATGTATAGGTATGGAAGTGTGTTTAAGACCCATATATTGGGATGCCCTACCATTGTATCAATGGATCCAGAAGTGAACAGATTCATACTGATGAATGAAGGCAAAGGATTTCCTCCTGGCTACCCACAATCCATGGTTTATATTTTGGGGAAATCAAACATTGCTTCTGTTAATGGAGATGCCCACAAGATCATGAGAGGTGCATTCTTATCACTTGTCAGCCCTCCCATCATCAGACACCAAATCCTACCCAAAACTGATGCTTTCATGAGAACCCACCTCACTAATTGGACTCATCAAACCATTGATATACAACAGAAAACCAAAGAGGTATGGTTTCTTTACATTACACCATCTTCCATAACTTCTTCATATTGTTCAGAAAATTGCTAACGACAACGGTGGTGTCCGCTTGGTTTGAGTTTGGCTCTAAAGGTCAAAAATATCTGGAGGTCTTGGATTCAAATCCAAGGAGGAATAAAAATCTCATTGTGGCCACGGAGGTTCAAATGTGATGACTCCGGGCTATTTACAAAGCCGGTGGTCGCCCTTGGATTAGTCGGCTCGCATAGCGGGTTGGATAAAAAATTGCATACAAAGGAAATACTTTATTTTAAATATTTAATATTAATTATATTATTAAAAATGATAAATATATTTAATATCTAAATAACTTTAAATAAATAAATAATTAATTAAAGAATAATAACTCTCCTTCAAGATTAATTTTGGAGATTTCTTTATCTTTTTTTAAAATATGGAGAAATATTATGGTCTTACCAATTTTATGTATTTCGGATAATTTAACATTAATTATATTATTAAAATAATACTTAATATATTTAATGTCTTAATAGATATATATATTTTTTTATAAAATATTAATTTATATTCACTTTCTACCATATAAAATAAAATAATTAAAGTCCTTGAAAATCAAATTTGAAATTTTTACTTACATTTTTTCAAATACGGAATAAATGTCTTTCTGTTATGTATTTTCTCTCGATCGAAGAATATTTTAAGGAGTTCTTAAACTCCATTTCTTTCTGAAATTTTGTTGCAGATGCTTTTAATAATATATTATCAACATTCTTATTATATATCTCTACAATTTCAATTTAAATGGTTGGATTTTTTTTACTGTTTTTTTCGATATTCAAAACCACACGAACCCACAAAATGAAATGAGAAACGGACGAAAACGAACGGAATTCAAGCTAATCGACCTTTCAAGTTCAATTCGGTTGTCTTCTGATCTCTTTACATTTTTCTCACAGATGGCTTTTCTATCTTCACTTAACCAAATTGCTGGAATTGGATCAAGTCCTTTATCAAAGGAATTCATGGCTGAGTTCATGAAGCTTGTATTAGGAACTCTTTCGCTACCTATCAATATACCGTTCACGAATTATCATCGCGGTTTACAGGTGAATCCTTCAGTTTCCCACCACGATGACATCAGGTTTATAGTTTATCAAAAACGTCTGAGTGTCATATAATAAACCTTCTTATAGGATTTAAGCTTATAGGATCAAACACTTGTGTTCTATCAGTTAAAAGATGTCTTATAGAACAAGTGTCTATAAATGTCTTATAAAAACAGTGATGTGCCCAGAATATTTTTTAAGCGGTGGTATTATTTGACTATAAGAAACAAATATAGAGATATTTTTCACAAAATTATTATTGGTCTCTGTTAGTTAGGTCATTGTATTTCATATGTGAAGTCATGTGTTCAAGTCTTTTATTGCAAAAAAAAAAAAAAACAGAAACATAATACATCTGAAATTAAAAGCTAAAAACTAAGAAAATGACAGTAATGAGATTCAAATTCGGGTCTTTGGATGGAAGAAAATTCTTGCAAATCAACACTAACAAAGGAAACTTGGATTCTAGTTTCAAAATATACATGATGACACATATCAAATTGGTACGGTGACACTTTTCACGATCCTACAATGGAGGAATGAAATGTCGGCATGTGCCACCACAAAAACAGCCTGCGTCCTTCCCTGTATAGAAAGTGTCTTTATAGGATGCTTCTTAAACGTGTCCTATAAAAAGCTAATGGGAATTTGTTAAAACATCTTAAACACTTATTATAAACACACAAACGTTCGATCCAAAAAACACTTCCCGGACATCTACATCTAGGGCTTTTGAAACCTGAGTTATAATGAAAACTGAGAAGGACTTTTGATTCAAAAGAATCAATACTGATTAAGTATGTATAAATGTATAAATTTAAGTCTTATAAAATGGTCTATTAAGACAATTAAACACACTTTTGACGTTTCATAAACTCGATTCAGTAGTAGTAATGATTTATGAGTCTTGATGAACGTCAAAGATTGAATCTTGAGTGATTGTGGTGCAGGCAAGGAAGAAAATTGTAAGAATGCTTGAGGAATTGATTGAAGATCGAAGAAAATCTCAAGAAATTCATGAAGATATGCTTTATTCATTGATGAATGGTGTCGACAACAGATACAAATTGAGTGATGAAGAGATAATTGATCAAATTATCACGATACTGTATTCTGGGTTCGAGACTGTTTCAACTACTTCGATGATGGCTATCAAGTATCTCCATGATCATCCAAGAATTCTTGAAGAATTCAGAGTAAGTTCACTATAAAATCTTTAAGTAAATCCTGATGAGATTTTATGGCCATGATTGGAATTAATATTACAATAAAATGGGGTTTATAGAATGTCAATAACTTTATAGGACTTCAGAATATAGAACCAAACAAACTATAAAATATCTTACCTAAAAGTGTGATAATAAGTTTATATGATGCTTTTGGACGTCTTGATAAGTTTTTTATGGCACTTTTAATGCAAACGTCATATTAGTCATTTTATAGCACATTTTGTAAGAAGTGTCCTATGAACACATGTTTTTATAGGATACTTATTTTTATATACGATGATTTTTTAATAAAAATGTCTTAAACATTTGTTATGATACCCAAAAACGTCCTACTTATTACGGCACCGTTAAATAAGACACTTTATTGTTTGATCATATCACTACAACAAGATTGATTTTGTAGGACGTCTAAAATGTAGAAACATTCTAAGAAAACTTTATAGGACCAAACCAAAAAGTGTCATATCTAAAAGTGTTATAATAGGTTTTAGAACATTTTTAGGTGTTTTAACAAGTTTTTTAGGACCCTCTTAAAATAAATGTCGTATTAACTAATTTTATACATCATTATTTTAAGAAAAAAATGTCCTATAAACATAAGTTTTCGTCCTATGAAAATATGGTTTATAGAACACTTCTCAAAAGTCTCTTACAAAATAGCTAATAGCACACTTTATTCTAAAAGTGTCCCAAAAAACTTGTTAAAACGCCTAAAAGCATCCTATAAATTTATTATAATGTTTTTAGTTATGACGTTTTATAGTTTGGTCTTATAAACGTAAGTTCTATTAAGACGCTTAGACAATTTAGACGTCTTATAAATTCGATCTTAATTTAACTGTAATTAATAATTTAATTGAAACTTTAAAAATAAAATATTGCAGGAAGAACATAGACGAATCAGAGAGAAGAAGAAGGCTGAGGACCCACTTGATTGGGATGACCTCAAGTCCATGACATTCACTCGTGCGGTCGGTTCCTTTTTATTTAATTAATTTAATTTAATTTATAATATTTTATTAAATTAAAAATTAATTTATTTTTATAAATTATACAGGTGATACTTGAGACATCAAGATTGGCTACAATCGTAAACGGGGTTCTGAGGAAAACCACAAAAGAAATGGAACTCGAAGGTCAGTTAATTATGGTAATTATTTACATAGTTTTTTTTATTGTAAAAAAAATAATTAAATTAATTATTTTTCTTGATAATTAAGTCATAATTTTTTTATTAAAATAGCAAAAAATTATCAATTCAACTTTTTTTTTTGAAAAATAAAATATTTATATAATGTAAATACAACAAATAAACTCACACACTCTTTTCACCTTTGGTGATATTTAAACTCATAACCTCTTAAGAGGCCAAAGGCTATGATAGTATGAAAACAAGGGAGTGCTAATGGCACCCCTTTGATAGGGATGCCAAATACATTGGAACTTGAACCTTATTAAAAAAGATAAAAAAATAATAAAATAATATATTTTATTATTATTACTTTATATATTAATTAATATATATATATATATATAT